ATATAGAGTCCTAGTGTATATATATATATATATGTATAACCACAAATCACACTCAGTAGCTGGTAGCGCATCAGACATCTGGTACACCCTCAAAGCACGGTGGCAAAAAAACAACCTCACCCCAACCCCTAAACCCCCGAACCCCTGAACCCCTAAACCCTAAACCCTAAAACCCTAAACCCCAAACCCTAAACCCCTAAACCCTAAACCCTAAACCCTACCCTAAACCCGAAACCCTAACCCTAAATCCCTAAACCCCAAACAAGCCAATGAGCTGGGAGGTGCCTCGGCCAAGGTGGTGTCCCTCCTGGTGGCCGCAGGTGTCGCCTCCTGGCTGCGACCTTGCAGGGCTTCCTGGGTGGAAGGGGGTTTAGGGTTTAGGCTTTGGGTTTTAGGATTAAGGGTTTGGGATTTAGGGTTTGGGGTTTAGGTTTCAGAGTTTAGGCCGGTGTGGAGTTTGGGGGGTTTAGGGTTTCGGGGTTTGGGGGTGTAGGGGCCTTGTGGGGTTCAGGGTTCAGAGCCGGTTATCATTGGAGTGGCAGGGCATTGAAGGGGGCCTAGCGTTGAGAGAGTTTGTACGGGGTTTGCAGCCCTAAACCCTACACCCGTTAGGATTTAGGGTTTTGGGGGTCTGCTGCTCTGGGTGGTTGCAGCAGTACATGTACACAGCAGGCGTCTAACAAGGCCGAGTCTCGGGTCACTTCTGCCATCAAAGTCCTTGCATAACCATGACTGGCATCGGCCACCTTTGACAAAATTTTGGGTACCCCACCCCCCCCACGAGGCTTCCTTGTGGACCCCAACCAGAAGGTTTTTTTGAAGGCAAACTTTCCCTCTCAAGGGGGGTCAACCAAGGACCCCACACACATGCAACCCAGACGACTTGAGGATCTTAATTCACGGCTTAAAGTTAGTTTCTTTCCTGTAGGAAGGAGCAGACCTTAGGCACTAAGTAAGAACCTGGTTTCGGCTGCATTCTTCTCCGAAACCCTAAACCCTAAAATTAAACCCTAAACCCTAAACACCCTAAACACCCTAAACACCCTAAACGCCCTAAACCCTAAACCCTCAACGCAGCGAAGGATGTGGATGTCCAGCTGTCCAAACCCATGCTCAGTCCCTTGGGCGCGCCTTAATTGCAACGAGCAATGACACAGGGCCCGGAGGTGTCATGAAGCCCAACACATAAACCCGCACCACACCCATCCAGGTTTGGGCTAGGCTTTTTGGAAGTCCCTCTTGAAGCAAAGGGGCTTAGGCACCAGCCTCAATCTGGACTGTCAGATTTTCCCTCCGAGCTGTCGCTGGATTGAAAGAGCGGTCAGGACTTGGACGAACAGTACATGAGTCAAAGCTCAATCCACAAACGCTGAGTGTCAATGAGGTCCTTTTTGCATGCCTGAGCCTACGCCACTGGTGGAACCAGTCTCGCTTGAGCAACTTCGGCCAGGAAGTAGACCCATGATCACTTTCAGTGATATCTGTCGCGCTCCCGTTGAAACTATCCTTTGTACAACATGCATCTATTCCTGTGTGCTTCATATTTCATACTCGTTTCTGTTTTTTCAGATGCCACTCAAGCCCTTTCACCCCTCTTTGTCGCGCATTCGGTTGATGTCAAGTAGGGATGCGCTCCGAGCCCGCCATGGCCCCGTGCAACAGGAAGCCCCTTTGAACTAAAAATCTGGCGCCCTCATCAATGCCACATGACTCTTGGGTCTAGGCCAAACACACCCTGAACCAACAAGAAACAACATGCACACACCCTGGTACTTCAACTCTAAGGTCTTCTATGTTACGCAGTACACGCATGCATGTGTGCGTAGATGTCCCTTGAAAAAAAGTGTTTGTGGGTATGGGAAATTCCGAGGCAACAGCAAACAAATGATTTTTGCTAGGGTTCCAAGTTCAGTATAGTGTAGGGCTTCAGGATTGCAGGGTCTTGGTAGGGTTGAGGGTTGTAGGGTTGTAGGGCGTTGGGGCTTATCAAGGGCTTCAGACTCGCAGCCCTAATGGTATATACTCCTAATATGGACTTATATTCCCTTAGAAAATCTTCAACAAGGGTGCCCAAACCCAAAAAGACCAGCTTAGGGGTCCGAGGTAGAGTTTTCTGAGCTTAGGGTCCTACACCCTAAATCCTAAACCCCAAGCCAGGGCTGTAACCGAAAGCCCTCAAGCCTTTAGAGGGCAAACAGGGTGGCCCCAAAGTGGGCCCCAGTAGGCCTTAGGGTTAAAAGGGCTTTTCGGGCTTAATATAGGGGTCGAAAAAAATGTTACCAACAGCATTCCCTTGTGGTCCCTTTGGAATGATACTAGAATAACCCCCCAACACCCTATTCGAATTATTCAGACGGTATAGGCCAGTGCAGTTCCGCTTTTTTAGGCACTTCAGTAAGATACTTCTTGTTCTTCGATCTTGCTTACCCATAAGCCCGAAAACCTGAAAACCTTGTGTAGGTAAAGCAGAAAAGAGGCCGAAAAGAAGCTACGGTCGGCCTGGCTAAGGCGAGTATGCCTACCACCACTCTGGTGCCACACCTCTGACGCCCGGGCAGCGTTGCAACGACCCAGCCGGTCTAGGGATTGGAGTTGGGATGTTCCCCCGTATACTAACAGTCCTTAATGGGGATGATAGAAGGGAGTACCATAATCCCTATGCAGGACTGTGCGTCTGAGGGGGAACATCCCGAGGTTGGGGCTGGGTAGGGTTTAGGGTTTAGGGTTTAGGGTTTAGGGTTTAGGGTTTAGGGTTTAGGGTTTAGGGTTTAGGGTTTAGGGTTTAGGGTTTAGGGTTTAGGGTTTAGGGTTTAGGTTAGGGTTTAGGGTTTAGGGTTTAGGGTTTAGGGTTTAGGGTTTAGGGTTTAGGGTTTAGGGTTTAGGGTTTAGGGTTTAGGGTTTAGGGTTTAGGGTTTAGGGTTTAGGGTTTAGGGTTTAGGGTTTAGGGTTTAGGGTTAGGTTTAGGGTTTAGGGTTTAGGGTTTAGGGTTTAGGGTTTAGGGTTTAGGGTTTAGGGTTTAGGGTTTAGGGTTTAGGGTTTAGGGTTTAGGGTTTAGGGTTTAGGGTTTAGGGTTTAGGGTTCAGGGTTCAGGGTTCAGGGTGTCGGGTTTAGGGTTTAGGGCTTAGTAGGGTTTCGAGGAAGACCCCCCACGCTCCCTGAAGCCGGATGAAGGCCATGGGGCCATGCAGAGGTCATGGGTTACTCCCTTAAAGAAACCTCCGTGGTGCTTTACTGTAACTTGAGATCCTTAGCCTTTTTGTGCTTATTGGGTTTCTTAACAAGGCAGCGAAGAATTACATTTATAGCTACCCTGCTAAGTGCAGCCAAGAAACCTGAATTCAGCTTAGTTGTCCCTAAATAGCCTTCATGATGGGGGGACACCTACGGGGGGTTTAGGGTTTAGGGTTTAGGGTTTAGGGTTTGGGGTAGAGAGGGGGGTAGTAGGGCAACCCATGAAGAGGTCACCAACCACACGTCCGCAACCCCGAAACTCCTCGAGCCCTGAAGCCGGAGAGCTGCCTCCTGCTTATAGGGTTTAGGGTTTAGGGTTTAGGGTTTAGGGTTTAGGGTAAGGGTTTAGGGTTTAGGGTTTAGGGTTTAGGGTTTAGGGTTTAGGGTTTAGGGTTTAGGGTTTAGGGTTTAGGGTTTAGGGTTTAGGGTTTAGGGTTTAGGGTTTAGGGTTTAGGGCTTAGGGCTTAGGGCTTAGGGCTTAGGGCTTAGGGTTTAGGGTTTAGGGTTCAGGGTTTAGGGTATTAGGGTTTAGGGTTTCGGGCCGCTGCATTCGTGGATCAATCGTGGTTCGTAAGGGGGGATGGGGACCAGGCGAAACCAATCACATTCCTGTGGGTTCTGCAGGTTTGGCTCCGTCCTAAGGGCGCGAAAGCCCTGAACCCTAAACTCCAAACCCTAAACCCTAAACCCGAACATTCTTTCGATTTTTCCGGTGATGGCTTAGGCAACCCTACGTCCAAACAGAGAAACTCGGGGAAGGGCTACTTGGAGGTTTGTGGTACTTACCAACCAATCACTATTCTTGACACTCACTTACAAGCCTCTTCAGTGCCATAAAATGTGGTTGTAATTGGGCTAGAAAGTACAGTCATAATGGGAATACAAGTACAGCACCCTCAACTCTAAACCCTAAATAAGCAGGTCGAACAGCGCCGCAAACCAGCCAGCCTGTTGCACACCCTGAACCCCTCAACCCTAAGCCCCAAACCCTACACCCTAAACCCTAAACCTTACACCCTAAATCCTACACCCTAAACCCTACACCCTAAACCCTAAACCCTACACCCTAAACCCTACACCCTACACCCTAAGCCCTAAACCCT